AATGTTGTGAAGAATTAGTAGTGGTGTTCAAGCAATATCAAATAAGAACAAAAATTTGAGAATTGTTAATTAATTATCTTATGTTCATTATCAGTACACTTTGCCTTCTGCTGCTATAAAGGAACATATGCTGTTAGCTTGTTTTCCTGTAATTTAAGTGCTCTACGTTAATCTAAGAGCTATAGCAAAATGTGAAGATTAAGCACTGTAAGTGTTTTTCTCATCACTTGGCCTTCGTAAAAGTTTGTGAATGGGTAAATGGGCAAATAGTGGCAGCAGCCAGACATAGACAGCTGCTTGAATATCGGTTCAATATCGGTTTTGTGCAGTTTTGATTGTTACTGAGCTGAGTTGTTGCTTTGTCTTCTAGCCAGTTATTTGTTGTCTACCTCTAAGCATGGTTTACATACTGCACTCAAGTTTACTCTGTATGCTTTACTTGCTCTGGACTCCAGTGGCTGTACTCTTGGCACATGGGAATCAAGAGGATGTCTGTGCTGGGAGGATTGTGGAGAGGTGTCTTTGGGATAGGGTGGCATCATGAGTACATGAGGTGAACACTGGGAATGTTATGCACTGAAATTCTCACTTATTGAGAATGGAGGGAATCTTGTATAAGGAGCTTCATCTTGTTGGTTGGGGTTACACAAGTTCACATTCAATTCCCGCAACCAAGGTCTGTGCAGGGCTTAGTTGTCAACTATTTCTGTGTGATTCTACTTCCACCTAACTGACAGCCTATACACCTAGAATAAGCAGTAGAAAGCTCTTGGTTTTGGGCTGTTGAAGCATTTTTCTTACCCACCCACCCACCTACCTGAAACAATGCAAATGTTTTTGATACCTTTTGATGCAATCTGTTTCTATTCATATAATTCTGACCTTATCCGCTCAGTAGACTAAACATGGTTTTCCTGCTGCCTTGATCAATTTATTTCCCAACCATCTCTCCCTTGGTAGCATAATGGAGAACAGTGAGTATTATACTCCTCTTGGAGCAATATTTTTTATTAGAATAGCTGGGACAATAGTGTGAGAAACTTTACCTTGTCTTAAATATTTTGTTCATTGTTCTAAAAGAAAATATCCCCTAATCTATTTTTCTATTTTTCTGGTGGTGGTGGTGGTGGGGGGGGGAAATGACCTACCTCCAAATTTTCCTCTGAATTCCCCTCCCCTTCTTTTTTGGTATTTACATATCTGCTCCTCTCCATTGCAGTCCTGCACACCTAAAAAACATTTCTTGAAGGAAAAAAGACCCATATGTTTCAGCCTCCAACTTAGAAGGTTTTGAATTGTGAGGGGAAAACAGTGTTGCTGCTGCTGTCTAGATCAGGGGTAGGCAACCTTTTTGAGCCAG